TTTTTTTTTTTTTTTTGAGTTGGACTCTCACTCCGTCGCCCAGGCTGGAGTGCAGTGGCATGCTCACAGCCAACCCAGTGTCAACCGGCTGTGCTCCAGTGATTCTTCTACCTCAGCATTCCAAGTAGCTGGACCTACAGGTGCACGCTACCATGCCTGGCTAATTTTTTATTTATTATAGAGACGAGATCTCGCCAAGTTGCCTGGGCTGGTCTTGAACCTGCAGACTCAGGCAATCCACTTGCCTTGGCCTCCCAAAGTGCTGGGATTATAGGCTGAGCCACCGAATCCAGCCTAGACTTTTTTAGATAGTGTGCTAATGCCAGAAGTAATTTCTGACAGTTTAGCTGTCAAGTTACATAACCTTGGGTAAGTTACCTTCTCCTCTGAGTTTTAGTCTCCTCTTTATTGCAAGGCTTAATTGAAATAATAACAAAGTTTTTGACACAGTGCCCAGCACATGGTAAGTACTGAATAAATATTAGATTCCATTATAGTCGTTGTTGTTGTTGTTTAGTATTAAAAAGCAAAATCATATCTGGGAGAAGTAGCTCATGCTGTCCAAACAACAAGGATTAGTTTATATTAAAAGGTCAATTTGTTACCTTACAGTGAGAAAAATAACTGCCAAGCTGACTGCAATTCATGTATCCAGTTCTATATATTCTCCCCAAGAAGGAAGGAAACCAAATGAGATCAGTACTCATCCATATACTTGGTGAGTATATTGAACATGAATTAGAACGATGATGCTTTCTCTCTGCCCTAATTCTTCATTTTCAATCTTTTCTACCTCTGCTACAGCTTACTATTCCTAAAATAATTATTTTATTCACTCTCCTGATCAAATCATCTGACTTTCCATTGACATAATATATGGCATAAATTCCTTACCCTGGCTTTTAAGATTCCTATTAATTTGTCCTAAAAGTTACTATCCAATTTTTTTTTTTTTTTGAGTTGGAGTCTCACTTGGTCGTCCAGACTGGAGTGCAGTGGCCGCTCCCGGCCACCGCAGCCTCAACCTGCTGGGCTCCGGCGATCCTTCCGCCTCAGCCTTCCAAGTAGC